CCACAAATAAGCAGGGATAATTTGCCTAATTTCTAGCTACCTGTAAGCTGCAAAAGTGCATAAGTGGTTTTACTCTGTTAAAAGGGCTTCTCAGCCTGTTTACTCTGACAGGTTTAAATTTACAGATTTAATCCTCAACCCATCTCCATCATGAATCCCTTAACCATTCCTCATAAAATGTCGTTTCCAGACCGTTGATCATTTTGGTCGCCCTCCTTTGCACATGTTCCAACTTGTCAATAACCTTGAATTGCGGCAACAAGAACTGGACACAGGACTACAGGTGTGTTTTGACCATGGCAGAATAGATCAGGACTATTCCTTTCCTTGAACATGACGCTAAACTTCTATTGATGCAGCCTGGAATAGCATTAGCTTTTCTTGCTGCTGCATCACACTGTTGGCTTATGTTAAGCTTGTGGTCTATTAAGACTCCTAGATCCTTTTCACATGTACTGCTGTCAAGGCATTTAACCCCCATGACTTTATGTTATTAAATGTTTATTCACAACTTTATACATTTTCAATACCCTAGTTTTTAATAGTCACAGATTTCCCAAAGTTATTACATACAAGTATTACAACTAAATCACATCTGAGAATAAGATTTCACTCATGGCTGAGGGACAATCTGAACCCTGGTTTCTTAAGCTGGTTTCCTAGCTGAGCCCTCTGACCACTGTGCCACACTGTTGCTGTGGTCTAAACCACTGAGCCTCTTGGGCTTGCCAATCAGAAGGTTGATGGTTGGGATCCCCGTGACAACGTGAGCTCCTGTTGGTCTGTCCCAGCTCCTGTCAACCTAACAGTTTGAAAGCACACCAGTGCAAGTAGATAAATAGGTAGCACTGCAATGGGAAGGTAAATGGCGCTTCCATGCGTTCTGGTTTCCATCAGGTGTCCCTTTGCGCCAGAGGCAGTTTAGTCATCCTGGCCACATGACCCGGAAAGCTGTCTGTGAACAAACGCCAGGTCCCTCGGCCTGAAAGCGAGATGAGCACCGCAACCCCATAGTCGCCTTTGATTGGACTTAACCATCCAGGGGTCTTTTACCTTTACCTTACGCCACACTGTCTCCTGCATATGAAACAGGAGTGGGATACAATCTCTTCCTTTACCTCCAGCCACAAAATATATTGGGCTGGCCCAGCAAGATGTCTGGGGCTGGTACCATCTTTTTCAGATGTGTGTTCTAAAAAGCCAAATCCAGATTGGATGCTGACCATAACTGGTAGTTTAAGGTATTTTCTTTTCTTTTCTTTCTTTTTATACCACTCACTCCAGTTTACAACCATAGCTGAGGGAAACAAGCAGGGCTTGCCCTAAGATAGGGCAGAGTGAGGCAGCTGCCACAGGCACCAGATGCTGAGATTGTGGGATGTATCATCACTGAAGCAGTCAAGTACAACATTTTCCTGTTGCCTAGAGCAGACACACAGGAGAATGTGACTCCAGACAGGGAAGACCTCCTGTCATACCTGCTCTGGAACCTCCTCTCCCTGTGTGTGACCAGGTAGATGGGTGTGACCCTAGGTGACCATGTAAAGGGCTAGCCATGCAGCCATCTTCTCTTTTTTCCATTTTCTCCTTTTGGACTCCTCTCTTGGACCTCCTCTTCTGGCTCTTAGCCACTACATAGCTCATCCTTACAGAGGATGGAAGCCACAATGTAGAAAGTCTGAGGCCTAGCTCAGACTTCCTTTCTCTACAAATATAACTGGAACCACAAAATAAAGCCTGCCTTCAGAGCACTGCTGTGAACTGATTGTAAGTAAAAATTTACTCTTTCTTTTAAAGAAAACTGTTGTGTTATTATTATTTTGGGCAAGGTGATTGAGCAGGTGGTTGCTGAACAACTCCACTGGAGGATGCGGACCATTTGGATCCCTTCCAATCGGGATTCAGGCCTCATCATGGGACTGAAACTGAGGAACCCTGGGGTGCCACAGGGTTCCGTCCTCTCCCCCATGCTTTTTAATATCTATATGAAGCCGCTGGGAGAGATCATCGGGGGTTTGGGCTGGGTGTTCATCAGTATGCAGATGACACCCAGCTCTACCTCTCCTTTAAATCAGTACCAGTGAAGGCGGTGAAGGTCCTGTGTGAGTGCCTGGAGGCGGTTGGAGGATGGATGATGGCTAACAGATTGAGGTTGAATCCTGACAAGACAGAAGTACTGTTTTGGGGGGATGGGGGGGACTCCCTGATCCTGAATGGGGCAACTGTGCCCCTGAAGGAACATTTGCGCAGCCTGGGAGTCATTTTGGACTCACAGCTGTCCATGGAGGCGCAGGTTAATTCTGTGTCCAGGGCGGCTGTCTACCAGCTCCACCTGGTACGCAGGCTGAGACCCTACCTGTCTGCGAACTGTCTTGCCAGAGTGGTGCATGCTCTGGTTATCTCCCGCTTGGACTACTGCAATGCGCTCTATGTGGGTCTACCTTTGAAGGTGACCCGGAAACTGCAATTAATCCAGAATTCGGTATCTAGACTGGTGACTGGGAGTGGCCGCTGGGACCACAAAACACCGGTACTGAGAAATCTGCATTGGCTCCCAGTATGTTTCTGAGCACAATTCAAAGTGTTGGTGCTGACTTTTAAAGCCCTAAATGGCCTCGGTCCTGTATACCTGAAGGAGCGTCTCCACCCTCATCATCCAGCCCAGACACTGAGATCCAGCACTGAGGGCCTTCTGGCAGTTCCCTCATTGCGAGAAGTGAGGTTACAGGGAACCAGACAGGGGGCCTTCTCAGTAGTGGCACCCACCCTGTGGAACGCCTTCCCTTCAGATGTGAAGGAAATAAGCAGCTATCCTATCTTTAAAAGACATCTGAAGGCAGCCCTGTTTAGAGAAGTTTTTAATATTTAATGCTGTATTGTTTTTAACACTCGATTGGAAGTCACCCAGAGTGGCTGGGAAAACTCAGCCAGATGGACGGGGTATAAATAATAAATTATTATTATTATTATTATTATTATTATTATGAGGGAAATAAAGGGGAAACTTACCAGGAACAATCCAGACCAGACAAGCCAGACTAGAGTGCTTAATTTAAAGGATTCTAACGAATCATCAACTTGCTTCCAGCAATCTGCAAGGGAATGTGCTCTGCGGCTTGCTCACTAGCTGAGTGAGGAGGAATAATATTTAATCAATATATCCTCTCCTACCTTCCTCAACATTCCCACGGAGGTGTAGGGAGGGAACCGAGCTATTAAGTGTCGCATGGCTGCTGCCCTGTACCTGCCATGCTAGCTTGCTGCCCTCAAGCACTTTTGACGACACTGTCCTTTCACCACTATTGGAGGAGTTTCAACTACCAGTCAAATTGGTTTATTCCTGTGCCTTGGGGAAGGACACCATTTTGTTGTTTGCTTCAGGCAGCAAAGATCTTGTCCTGGTCCTTGAAACAAGTTAGCAGTTAAACCCTTCTGCCCACCTGTTCCACTGTGCAAAAAACCCTGACCTTTTCCGTTAGAGATACATGAACCAGAATTTCAATACAAAGTCCTTGATTGCTTAGCTGCAACCTGCTTTCTCCTGGAGATGAATCATCTCCTGTTAATCAAGCAAAAGCAGCTACTGGCTACAGCCTTTGGAGAGAGCATCGCATGACTGCCCCCCTTCCCACCAGAAGCTTCAACAAAACATTTCAGAAAACCTGGATGAAAGTACACATTATATTTTTAATGAATTTATTAATGAATACATATGTCAAAAGCTTTAACAAAGGTCAGTGTGACATCTATCTGTCTATTCATCTATATCTTCTTCAAGCATCCCAGAAGCAATTGACTCAAGAGGCATACTTTGCTGCCTGCTTGCCTTCTTCCTTTGCCTCTTCAGGATCTATCAAGAAGTAGTCATATAACCCTAAAAGTCAAACAAAAAATCTTGGGGGCATTATGTGGCATATACTCCCATGTTATATATGCTTATGCAGAAATATAGAGATTAAAGCAAGTAATGTAGAACAGTCACTAAACAGAATTATTCACTGGTTAAAAACATTTTTAGGTGTAAATATATAGCATGCCAAGGTGTTCACTAATCAAGTGTTACACACAAAAGTTCAACAATATTTTCCTGTGTCGTCACTGACAATGTTTAATTTTTTTAAGACACAGCATCTATGCAAAATTTAGTGGTCCCTCTGGTGAGAGACATAGGACTCCTTGGGGGAAAAGTAAAATATGAACATAGAAGGTAAAGGTAAAGGGAACCCTGATCATTAGGTCCAGTCGTGGCCAACTCTGGGGTTGCGGTGCTTGTCTCGCTTTATTGACCAAGGGAGCTGGCGTACAGCTTCCGGGTCATGTGGCCAGCATGACTAAGCCACTTCTGGCAAACAAGAGCACGTAAACGCCGTTTACCTTCCCGCCGGAGCGGTACCTATTTATCTACTTGCATTTTGATGTGCTTTCGAAGTGCTACATTGGCAGGAACAGGGACCGAGCAACGGGAGCTCACCCCGTCACGGGGATTCGAACCACCGACCTTCTGATCGGCAAGTCCTAGGCTCTGTGGTTTAACCCACAACGCCACCCGTGTCCCTAAAAATATGAACATAATAGTGAGCAAATAGAATGGCATCTGTAGGGGCTAATCAAGGCTACTGATCTAATGGAGGCAGCTAAACCCTTGGGCAGGGGTAAAACGAGGCTTTATTTCACCCTGGTCAAATAACACCACCCTCGCACATTTCCGTGCACAAAAACACACATAGCCTGGGAGTCTCAATGGCGCCCTCTTGATGCTTCACTCGGGGCAAAAAAAAAACCCAGGCTAGCCATCCACCATACCACACCCAAACACCCCGTAGCTACGGCTCTGCCTTGGGCCACATCATATAAAGCCCCGGCTGCAATGGAATTTAGTCAGAAGATAAAAAACGTGAATTTAGGAAACCAGGCTGAGAAACACACATTGTTACAGATAATTTGCATATACATATGACAAGCATACTGTGAAAGCCTAACACCTTGAATAAGAGGAGATGCTAATAGGTGGACCGAGCCCGGGGTCTTCTGCCGCCCGGGTTCGGCAGCAAGGGAGAAGGCTCAATTCGGAGTGGGATTCTCTCATTCCCAGCTTGGGGCTGGACACTCGGTGCGTTGCTGGATGCAGCAGCAGGACGGCCACGGGAACCTGGAAGACGCGCTGCACCAGCAGGCGACGGTGGAGCCGATCTGGAGTAGGCAGTGGAGGAGCCACGGTGCTCACGGGGTCTCAGAGAAGAGCCGGCCTCTAGGTCGCTCTCATCCTGTCTTTCACGGGTGTTTGCCTTCCTCTGCCAAAATCTTCCGCGAGTGCGGGGAAAACCCCAGTGGACTACCAAAGTAACAAAAATGCCTGCAGAGAACCAGAGCATCCTCACCCAGACTGGGAAAAAAGAAAGACAATGATAAGTGCTGGTTCTGTTACCCATTTGCTTGATTGTTCTGCTCAAGGGTACAAACTGGACACCCCAGGAATCGAGTGGGGGATTTTAACCAAAACGCCGGGGGGCGAGTATGGCTAGCATGTGAGGTAGAGTATCTCAGGCTAACCCCCCCCCCCCCCGCGTCTCACACGGGAGCGGCCTAGAAATTAGGACTCCCCGGACTTCGCCGAGAGAAGTCGCCGGCCCCCACCCCGTTTACAAATCTTGCCCAAGCCTTTCAGAGCTACTTGCAGAGTCGTCAGCAAGCTAGTCCGCCCGTGGCAACCCAGAGTTTTCAGGCACTTAAAGACTTAGTGTAGTATAAGACTGGGCCCACACGACCCCTTTGAAGCACCTTCGAAGGCCTTCTTGCCCTCCCCCCAGGTTTTCTGCCAGCTGGGCTTCACCCTAAGAGAGTTCCCGTTCCCAGCCTCCCAACGAAAGCGCGCAGCCTTCTTGGAGAGGCGGAAGGGGTTTCGAAGGTGCCCTCCCCGTGGAGTGGAGCCTCTGATCCGCATCCCCAGTTCAAGGGCGGAGAAGAGAGCAATAGACCGAAAGGGAGCGGGGGACCCGTGTCTAAAAGAGACAGAACGGCAGGTGTGCGTGCAGACCTAGTCCCAGGTACATAGCTGTCAACATTTCCCTTTTCTTGCGAAGAATCCTATTCGGAATAAGGGAGTTTCCCTTTAAAAAAAGGAAAACGTTGACAGCTATGCCCAGGTAGTGGCCACTCCAGGTGCTAAGAAATGGCGAGAGGTGGCCGCCTTACATGTCAGTGTAGATAAAGGAGGGCAGGGCTCTGGGCCGCGGTCGGTGGGGCGCGCAGTGGAGCCCTCGGCGAGCTCTTCGAAGGAGCAATTGCGCGTCTGGTCGCAGGTCCCGCAGCAGAACTTGACTTCGGCGCCGTCGGGTTGCCCCGCGCACTGGAAAGCTTCCACCTGCGGCGGCTCCGTCCCGTACAGCCACTGGGCGCACATCGATCCGTTGGTCTCGTTCAGCATCAAGGGGTCTTCGGTGGGAGCAGGGGCCGTGCTCTGGGTCACGCCCCAAGGCAGAAGGCGCAGCAGCAGCAAGAGGGTGAAGAGCAGAGCCAACTTCATGGCGGCGCAACTCCCAGCTGGGCTCACCTGGAGGAACCGACCAACTCTCTCCAGCAACCGAACGACGTCTGGCTGGCTAATCTCCCCCACCCCACACGCGTACAGATCCGCCCCACTCAAGCGCAGCCAGTCAAAAACAATGTCCCGGTATCACCTTTCATCTGACAGGGGCTGCAAGGCCGCAGTCTCCGCTGGGGCAGCCGCGATTCCAATTCCACAAGCGCCCCCTGCAGAAAGCAAGATAACACTGAGGGTCTTCTCCGCTATGAGGCAGCGCTTCTCTGAACTTTCAAACGGGGGGTGTGTGGGTGCGGTACTCCCGTCCCTGCCCGGGGACTGATCCCGGGACGTTGCACCTTCAAAGCGCATGCTCTCGTACTGATAGGTGGGGTTTTAAATAGTATGTGAATAGTTCATACAATATCAATAGTACAGTAGCAATGGGGAAATATTGCAAAATGAGTAAAAAAGTCAAATGATGTGCAGAGGTTCCATCTTTGTCTAATTTTAGACACCAGTGAAAGATTTGCCTTTCTCCCTGTGGCTTTTGGTCCTTAGTTCAGAGGATTTTAAAATATTTGTAGACTCTTTGGTTGGGCATAATCTGCTAGACCTGTATGTGATTTGTGTAGATGCAGAGGGTTTTAAAGGTTTTATTCATAATTTTTATTAGAATTGGTTTTAGTATTTCTAAAAAGTTTGCAAGTCACTTTGTATAGTTTTTTTATGAACAAAGTGAGTGATAAAAACCACCATCACTACCCTGGGACATATAAGGTTAAGTAAAGATATAAGAAGAACCCAAACAGGTCACCTTGATTTTTTAAAAATTATTTATTGCATTACCAACAACCCAAAAGTGCATTAACAGGGTATTACATCATACCATAAAAAGCAAGCAAACAAACAATAGATAATGAGAAAAAGAAATGGTTACACACCAGTGAAAATCAAGATGTCCACCTCCTCGTCTTGGGCAAGGTTCTTTACTAGGTGGTCATGGACCAGATCCAGGTGCTTTTGGAGAAAACTGGTTTTCTTGACCCATTTCAATTGGGGTTTAGGCCCAGTTTTGGCACAGAAACTGATTTGGCTGTCCTGAATCATTTATGATGCCAATTATGTGAAAACAGTGTCTGTGAAACTGACTGCTTCATGATTGCTGTCAGCTGGCAACCTTAAGTTACAATTCATGGTACCTTTAAGATACCACCGTTTTCACACCCACCCAGTAATGTTCAGTGGGAGCATTTACCATTCTGCATAGAATTCCCACTGCATTGGCTATGTCCAGTCTGCAGGTTGTGGCCAGGTGTAAGTCTACCTATTGCTGACCTGTATTTATTGTTGTCAGGCAAAGAATTGAATCCTCTTGATTCTTTGAGAAGTCAGTGTTCATGGGTGTGGCAACTAGATGTGCTTCTTGCATCTCAAGATTGCCAATCAGTTCAGCAACCTTCTGCTTTTAACTTACAAGAAAAGAACCATCTTCTTCTCTCTCAACTTTGATTCCTAGATTGTACAAGATCTTTCCTAGTTCCTTGACCTCCATATCCTTGCTTAAATGTTGCACAACCTGTGTGCAATCTCTGTCATCAACCATGGCAACAATAAAGTCCTCAACAGAGGAAAGAACGTAAGAAAATTGTCCAATTTTGAACTTGGTGTACAAACAAACACTTTGTGGGATGTATTATTACTTGAGCAGTCAAGTACAACATTTTCCTGTTGCCTTGAATGAAAACACAGAGGAATGTGGCTCCATACAGGGAGGACTTCCTGTCATACCTTCTCTGGAGCCTCCCCCCCCCCCCCCCGTGTGTTACCAGGTAGATGGGCATAACCCTAGATGACCAGATAAAAGGGCTGGCCACGCAACCATCTCTCTCTTGGACTCTTGGGCTCTTACTCTTACTCTTGGACTCTCCTGGTTCTTAGCCAGCGCATGGCTCAATCTTCACATAGGATGGAGCCCACAAGCAGAAAGCCTGTGATGTAGCTCAGCATTCTTTTCACTGCAACGATAAGATAAAGCTTGCCTTCAGATGACTGCTGTGAACTGAATGTGAGTAAAACTTTGTTCTTACTTTTAAAGAAGACTGTGTTGTGTTATTATAATAAGACTGGATTGCTTAATTAAAGTATTCTAACGAATCATCAGCTTTCTTACAATAAATTACAAAGGAAACATGCTCTGCTGTTTACTCACTAGCATGAGTGAGGAGGGAGAATATCACAACAACATATCCTCTCCTACCTTCCTTAACATTCTCACACAACTCCCTCAATCATTATAAGGCTGGTTTTCAGACCGTTGATCATTTTGGTTGCCCTCCTCTGCATATGTGGCACCCAGAACTGGACACAGTATTCCAGATGTGGTCTGATCAATGCAGAACAGAGTGGTACTACTACCTCCCTTGCTCTTCTGTTGATGCAGAACAGAATGGCATTTGCCTTTTTTGCAAATCCTTTTCATACATGCTACTGGTAAGTCTGGTGTTCACATCTTATATTTGTGCAGTTGGTTCTTTCTGCCAAAGCGTAGAAACAGACATTTGTCCCTAATGAAATTCATTTTGTTAGTCTGGACTCAGTTCTCCAATCTGCTAAAGTCACCTTAAATCCTGAGTGCGTCTTCTGTGGCATTAGTTACCCCTCCTAGTTTGGTGTCATCTGCAAATTGGATGAGTATCCCCACAATTCCTTCATCACAACCATTTACAAAGACTTTCAACAACAATGGGTCTAGGATAGAACCCCTCAACACCCCTTTTGTCATTTTTTTCCATGATGAAGATGAACCATTAGTGAGCACTCTTAGACGGATCTGTCAACCAGCTACAAATCCGTCTAGCAGGTACAGTACCTCATCCACCTCAGATAACATTACTTATAACAAAAGTGAAAAAAGAAGACGTTAGCATTTTTTTTTACAGTATTAGCAGATAACAACAACAACTTTATTATTTGTACCCCACCCTCTGACTGAGTTGCCACAGCCATTCTGTAAAGCTTCCAGCAGGTACAAAACACACACAATAAAACATCAAAAATTAAAAACTTCCCTGTACAGGGCTGCCTTCAGATGTCCTGTAAAATTTGTGTAGTTATTTATCTCCTTGACATCTGATCGGAGGGCATACCACAGGGTAATGTATATCAACCTACAGTATTATAATTTTAATGCTGGTATCACTGGATCAAGTTAATCAATTTTGTTGAATAATTTAAATCGATTTGATTAGATTTTTTAATAAATATGAAATGAATTTTATTGTGTTGTTATTTTCCTTACTAGATTGTGCAAACTGCCATTCTGAACTGAATGTGAGTAAAACGTTGTTCTTACTTTTAAAGAAGAGTGTGTTGTGTTATTGTTATTTTAAGAGGGAAATAAATAGGAATCTTATCAGGGAAAAGCCAGACTGGATAAGACAGACTGGATTGCTTAATTAAAGGATTCTAATGAATCATCTGATGCTGGAGGAGACTCTTGAGAGTCCCATGGATTGCAAGAAGATCATACCTATCCATTCTGAAGGAAATCAGCCCTGAGTGATCACTGGAAGGACTGAAGCTGGAAGCACTGAAGCTGAGGCTCCAATACTTTGGTCACCTCATGAGAAGAGAAGACTCCCTGGAAAAGACCCTGATGTTGGGAAAGATGGAGGGCACAAGGAGAAGGGGACGACAGAGGACGAGATGGTTGGACAGTGTTCTTGAAGCTATGAACATGAGTCTGACCAAACTGCGGGAGGCAGTGGAAGACAGGAGTGCCTGGCGTGCTCTGGTCCAGGGGGTCACGAAGAGTCGGACATGCATAAACTACTAAACAACAAAACGGATCATCAGCTTTCTTCCAATAAGTTGCAAAGAGAACGTGTGTGAGCGAGGAGGGATAATATCGAAACAATATATTCTCTCCTACCTTCCTTAACATTCCCACAAATTAGTTCCCTAGGTGCAATTCAAAGCATAGGAGGCAACTCCAGGGGGCTATGGGTGCCTGGGCACCCAGAATAATATAACTGTGGGGGATGGGCATCCACAAAGTCAATGTGAAAAGCTGGCAGGTGGCAGCAGTGCTGCCTCCAAGAGAGAAGCAGTTCACCTCCGCACTCTGCAGCCAGGCACCTTTTTTGAGGGGGTGGAGGGAGAGTCAGACACAGAGGCAACCTCTCTGCCTCTGGTCCAAGCCCCTCTCCATAGAAAAGGTGTCTCACTGGCAGCAGAGAGGAGAAGGAAGAGGAGCCACTGCTCCTGGCCACTGCAAAGCGGACGTGCGATGTCACACGCACACTATGTGTAGGCATATGTGTGTGACATCACACATCCACATTGTGGCGGCAGGCACCATAGCTGTCAACTTTCAGATTTGAAAATAAGGGATCAGCAGCCTCTCCTGTCCCAGAGACAGTCTACAGGATATCTAACAATCCAGGATAGCAGCGGGAAGCAGCGAAAAACGGCGCTGGAATAAGAGAATTTCCCGCAAAAAAAGGGAAGGTTGACAGCTATGGCAGGCACCCACAATCCTGAAGGCGAGATGGCACCCCTGATTCAAAGTTCTAATTTTGACATATAAAGCCTTAGATGACTCAGGACCTCAATACCGCAAGGACTGCCACTCTGCATATAAACTGATGCAGACCTGCGACCACTATCTGAGGCCGTTTTTTATGTGTCCACTCCATGAGAGGTCTGGAGGGTGGCAACGTGAGAATGGGTCTTTTCTGTGGTGGATCTAGTGGTGGAGCTTTATTATGCTCTGGCACCGGGGGCAGGGGTGGAGAGCAGTTGGAGGGTGGCTGGCGTGCATCCAAGGGGCATGGCGCACGTCCAGGGGGCGTGGCGCGCCGCCTGTGGGGGGGCAGCCGTGATGGCACCCTACCAGGATCACGCTGCCAGGGGCGGTGCGCTCCCCCCGCACCCCTCTTCCTCCACCAGTGGGTGGATCCCCACTTCTGGAATGCTCTCCCCAGGGAGGCTGTACTTAT